GTTCACAGTTTAACCTCAAAAGCGCAGGGGTGTGGTTAGCTCGGGTGGTAGAGTGCAAGCCCCGTGTACAAGGCTGAGTCCTTACCTTTGCTGCATGTCGCCCTAGCTCTCTCTCTCCCTCCCTCATTTCCTCACTCTATCTGCTGTCCTATTAAATAAAGGCTATAAAATTCGCAAAAAATATCTTAAAGAGAAAAAAAAGTGCAAGAGCAACCCTGTCTGTGTCAATCAGGTGTTGATTCAGTTAGTAACTTTCAAAGCTTTAGTGGTGCTGCAGGGATTACATGGCATTTTAAGAATATTTTTTAGTTCACCATATGAAATATAAAGTATGAAGTGGCCAAAATGTTTCACAAACCTTACAATGTAATGCTGGTGTCATGCAGGGATCGTGTTTATATGTTCACCGTTTTAATGTGTTAGCATGCTAACATTTTATAAGTAGTGCTTAACATAGTAGTACAACTGAGGCAAACAGGAATGCCTTTAGTGGTCTATAGCGACGCTAGCTGCTCTGTGAGGCTCTTTGAGTAAATGCTAAAATCAGCATGCTAACATTTGTTTGTTACCACAAGTGCCAATCCATCCAGTATGTGTCGGTCAGTCGTAATATTTATGGTTGGACTGTTTTATTAGATTGCATTACATCATCCAAGTATTTAAATTTTCTAGTCAAACTGGGTAAGATACCTTCAGTCTGACTTTAGCACCAAAACTGCAACCTCCTCCATTTTCAGTAAGATAGATCACTGCAGGGTCACCTGGCAAAAAGTTGAACCATGCTTTTACCATCATGCAATGATAGTACATCCAGCCGATCAAATACATGCAAGCACACGTTCCCAGATGATTTTTTGATTTTTCTTTGTCACATGAACAGCATAATTCCACTGTTTTCTTTGAGAAGGAACGGAAAAAGAGAAGAGAATTCCTTTATTTATCATTTTTATGAAGGTACATAAAAATGAAATAACGAGATCACCTTGCAAATGGAAAAGACTGTCAGTGCAATCAGTATATAAATAAGCATATAAAGAGTGATAAGAAGTCTAAGTCTAAGAACAGACAAAGCACAGGCAAGTGCAGACAAAGAGTAGAAGTGGGTAACACTTGTCATTGAGTGTGCATGTATTGATTTGCAATCGCAATGACAAAGTCTTTTCAAGACTATTCAAATGCATGCATGTATCTATATCTAACTGACTGTATGTGAAAGCAGCTAGTAAATTAAATGTTAAATATAAGCAACATATGTTAAAATATGTGCTTAAATGTGATTAAAGGATATAGGGGCACAGATGACAGAGCAACAGTTCCACAGGCAGGCAGGAAGTTATTTGACTGAAAGCCAGCAGGGGGTTAGTGGCACACAGTCAGAGAAGCAGACAGATCTACAGCCCTACAGTCACCGTCACTCCTCAGTCTGTTATCTCGTCCCAATAAAGCCCTCAGCAGTACAACTTCATAGGCATTTCCGCCCTGTGAAAGACACACGTGGCCTCTTTGATAAGATAAACTGCAGAGAATAAAGACACGGCAAAGCGAGGTCTCTTTTTAGCTTCTCCAGCCAAACAATTCTATTTTAGCAGATAAGGTGGCGCAGACAGACCGCCCCACCCCTGAAACCTCCGAGACACACACTCGTCCCTTTGTGACCTGATAAAGGAGACTGCTGGATGCATGTAATCAGCATATTATTGATAGTCTTAATGAGAAAGGCTCTGAGTCACTGAAGCCATTAGCCAGGATAAAAGAGGCTTAATTGTTTTGTGTGTGCATGTGGTTGCATGTGTGTGTGTGTGTGTGTGTGTGTGCCTCAGCTAAGACCAGGCTAATTAAATCCATTTCCTTCGTTAGCAACTTTTTTTCTCTCTTAATTAAGAGGGTTAATTATGGGCCTGGACAGAGGTCTCGTGCACGTTTGTGTGGATGTGCATTCTCCAGACCAGACACACATGTGATATTGCAATCTGTAACAGAGGCATATAATGACACAATGAGCATTCATGGCTTAAATTAAACAGCCTTTGATATTTATTTCAATTCAAAGAAAGAGTGAATATGTTAAGTCAGATTGTATCTCTAATCAACGACAGAGTTGTCTGCCTTGAATTTCAAAGGCTTCAAGTAATAACATGGCACCATCTCTTTGATAATGGTCACCTACGTCTGTCTTTGTTGGAAAAAAAAACCAAAACATAAATCCACTCTCCAGTTGAAAATAACTGCGGTTTTCTTGTCTCGAGGAGGAATCCACATGTTTGGTTTCTTGTCAAAAGCATCAACCAGCAACCAGCAAATATGGTGTTAATACTGACTTCTGTCATCACCATCGGTGTGTGATACTAGTGGACGTCTGCAGCATACCAATGGTGTGGAACAATATTCCCCAGCACGCTCCATCTACAGCAATAATATCGTTATGGCTGCCAGACATGAGAGGACTCTCCCTGCCTGCCACTGGACACACACCATTACTTTTGATGGCCCGAGTGTGTGTGCATGAGAGTAAAAGCGTGTGTGCGATCTGTGTGTGCGCGCTTGTGCCCTCGGGGTCACACATCCTGTTGGGGAAAATGGCTGATTCAGGACTGTCTGCCATCTTGCTTGTCAACTTGGGTCCATGCCGCTATAACCGTTAGACATCTGTGGGCGAGCAACCGTTTCCAGTGTGATGATGATGATGACGATCCTCTGCGGCCATAACAAGACATTAACACCTTTTACACTCTGTTGACTCCTCTTAAAGCTGCAGGCAAGTTTTGTATGTAAAAAAACCACACTTGTGTTAGCAGTCCACTTCCCTATGTCAGGGTGTAATAGAGAGAAGCATCTCACCCCTTCTAAAAGAAACATTGTAGATGTGCCACATTTACCAAAATTAAATTGTGCAGGAAATGTTTTTGGTGCACATTAAGCTGGAGTGTTGCTGGGATTTCTGGGCTATCTGAGATGATTCAAGGGTATCACAGGTGTCTGTGTCATAATACTCTCGTGTTTCCTTGGCATCCTTTAGCTTACACAAGTCAATCTGGTTGTAATTTACCATTATTAATTTTTGGGTTTCTGTGTTTTTGGTGCCATCTCTTCAAATGACTGCCTCTAACTTGGACTTCCAATATGTAAAATTAGCTGATAAGCTATCTTATAGCTTTAAAGCTACACTAATCAATATTTTTATGGTAGCATTGGGTCAGATAACAATGTGTAATGTGAAAGTGGCCACTACTTGTGACAAACCCATATAGAAAATTTGGCATCTTTCATGTCATTGTTTAGGTTTTGGCCCACAACTTTAATATTTTGGTCTGCCACTCCTATCAGCCTTGGTTGGAGTCACATCAGGCAGCAGTTTTCAGTGAAGTGGCAGAGAACAGCTCTGATATAGCCACTGTTTGCTACCTGCCCAGCACCAAACAGCCAAAGTTAGCAATTGATGGTGAGCATGGTGGGGCATTTAGCAGCAAAAACAAACACATGTTTAAAAGAGAGTGAACAATGGACCTACATGCACCAGGTGGTCATGAAATACAGCCCCAAATGAATACTGATGTTGCTTCCCATCTGCTGGTTGTGTAAACGTTTGCCAACACGTTCACAACGTCAACTTTATAAGGTGACATTATGTCAGTGTTGTCTTATGTATAGCTTGTTGTGCTGCACCCAAGCGGACACAATAATCAATTAATGCAGCTTTATTTAACTGTCACATGTGTTCACCGGTGAGTGATGAGAAGATCATGCTTCCTCATGCTGCATTTGGGCAACACCTGTTGGCCAATAATTTCTTGTTCTTATTGCTTTGTTGTTCTCTATTCTTTCTCCTCTCTGAAAATCACAATGTGATCCTTTCCCCACATTCTCAGTGATGCCTTTTAGGGGGAGGCTTGTGGGTGCACATCTGTCACTATCAATCGCCTCTGAGTGCGCATGCTTGTCGCTGTCATGCGTCCTACTGGTGCATTGTTAGGTGTGACTTTTTATTAGCCTGTGGCGTGTTGGAGATTGGAGGGGGGTCAACGTCACTCCGGCAGTAAACTAGCGCAGCCATCAGCCCTGCACACGGGAACAAACACCCCATTAAACCAAGGCCTTCGCATATTACTGTAATAAAAGCCCCTGTTCTCGCCTTTATGGGATTTTTAATTATGTCTATTCGTCTTCCCGGGCTTGTGAGCAACAGTTCATGATGAGCCCCATTTCATGAATACTCCGCCACTGGCTGAAAGCTGGAGGGGGTGAATTAAAGGGAAAAGTCAAAAATGGCCCGAAGCTAAAATATGCGCAATACTGTGATGGTATTTTATGTTTTACCTCACAGCACGGAGCCAATAGCGCAGCTTTTTATTTCAATTTTTTAAGGCTTTTCTTTTGTTTTAGATGTGGATTTGAATGATAATGGAAACATCTCATGCAGTTCCGGTGAATTACAGAGCAGCTCAGCTGTAACTGTGTGTATTAAATTATCTCCCCGAGATCAGGGCAATGGCTGGACTAGCTGCAGGGTCCCTGAAAATGAACCATACAAATCATCCATGCATGAATTAAACATAAAGGCCTGCGCTTTTGGTCATTTCACACCTCGTACACTTGCCTCTCTTCTTTGTATAGCACTTTCATATTCACTCTGTATGGATATTAAGGTCACTTGCCTCCCGACATTTAAAATGTTCCAAACGCCCCTGCACATTATGAAAACCTTAACCATTTTCAGTAAGGTATTTATTTATTGCATCGTGCCTGTAAAACCTGCCTGATAGAGCAATATACAGTCCCTCATTGTGCACACACACATTTTATAGCCAGGTAATTTTCTGCAACGCTGGACACTATAGCTTAACCCCTTTTAACCCTGGCAAGCCTACAACACTTAACCTGGAATACAGTGCAGCGGCACCTGAGCAACATACCATACAGAAGTCTTATTAAACAATTCTCACAGTCAAAGTCTGCATTTCAGACTTTACTTTTATGGCTAGGGACAAAAGGAGTTATTTTTAAAGGTTTTATTGTCTTAAAATCAGGTACAAACATTGTGCCCAGTGGGTTTGCGTAGTCTGCAGAAAATAACGGCACCCATGAAAACAAGCAACACCACAGCCAGCGCTGCACCCACACCACACAGCAGGGCTATTGATGAATACAAGGCTGAGGATGAAGAGAAAGACAAACATTATCGGCTCCATTAGTCACAGCATTTAACAATTAAGAGACGAGAGCAGAAAGGTGAATAAGTGGGACTTGAATGCATTTTCCAGTCACATTGTTGTGAGTGTGAAAAGCACAGGTGCCTTCTTACCTGCTCCAGTCACTTCATGTGTTTGGAGTAGAGAAGCTGGCTCTGGAAGGAGCTCAGTCAGCTCCTCTTGTAGGATGTTCTCCTCCAATAGGATGGGGCCCAGAACAGCTGTTCCCTCCCACCGCTGATCTGGAGGAAGCCCTGTGAGTCCAACATTGGGGAGGATGGAGGAAAAGAAATCTACTTTGCGCATTTAGCCAGCTGATTCAACCATTGACGATACAAGTGATTGGTTGGACAATTAATAAAAAAAAAAAAAAAGAAAAGGATCAGCTCAAAATCAATCCTCAAAAGATGCATAAATATCACGTGTGGAAGCAAGTTAGCTTGTCTAAATATGGGTGCAACCTCTGCTTGTCTGTGGCGGATTATATTTCACTCCTTGTTGCTAGCACTCCTTGTTTTGTTCATTTGTAATATGTCTGAGTGAGGCTTCAGAACCATCCAGATGGTCTCAGACAAGGTAGACATGCCGTCCTGGAAATTCTATAAGTGCCAAAGGGACATAAAAATAAATTAAACTTTGCTGATGTGTTTTTGGACCTAAAACGTATTGGGTGTGTGTTGTGCGTCTATGTATGCATGTAAATTCTTTGATATGACAGCACTCAAGAAGGTATCACCATTTCTCCCCTGGGTCAGTATCAAATGGTCAGGATTCATCCAAGTGTAATGTAGTGTTGCTTGTGTAAACTGTACCAGCATCTGCTGCTAGTCTTCTTCTCCGTCTCTGTTCGCTGCAGCTGGTCTCACAGCAGTTACACACCTTATTGTCTCCACCTGATGCAACCCATCTGTCCAGAGCCAAAAATGTCTTCCGTTACAGAGGCTGAATAAATCTCTTTATAGCATTAGAGTTCCGGTAAAGGGGGGGGGGGACTTTTTGCGGGATTAGGGAAGGGGGGGTGCCTGCATATTTTATTTAAACATACCAGAAAATCAGCCAGACAGTCACATATCCATTTGCTTAGTTTAACTGAATTAGCTTTGTGGGAACTGACCTGTTGGCCTCTGTCAAGAAGGAACACGCTTTGTGTTGTGTGTCAATGGGAACGGAGACTGTTGTTGCCTTCAAGTGACATGTGATGTAGAGCTATGAGGAAGGCAAAAGGACATTAAAAGACATATGTACAGTATTAAGTGTGCTATTCAAAATATTGCACAAATATCTTTCCAAGATGTCCTCATTGGTAGACCCAACGTGTGTGCTAATGATGCTGTAGCTTCATTACCACATTTTTTGGGAATTGCTCAGATGTTGCAAGTACAGTACTGGGTTAAAGCAGTATCCTGAAATCTTGAGCGTTGAAACTTCTTAGATCAAATTCTGTTCTTTTACTTGAAGTTAATTCAATGTTACGATTCATCCCCCAAAAAAAAAAAAAAAGTAAAAAAAGTTTTTCCGAGTTGACACTGGCTTACATTTATGGCCTAGCTCCATCCTGGGCATCTTCCACCTATAATATAGTTACCCAGTTAAATGTTAAGACATTCATTTCCTCAGCTGGAAAGTATTTGACCCAAGCACAGATTGCAACTGGAGGTATTGTGGCCTTCAAACAACTACTACCTACGTATACATTATGTGCCAACTTAGCACGCAAGACCACTAACAGAACAGCTGGGGGGGGGGAATAATAATGTTAAGTGACACCTTGGCTGCCGCAAGTTAGCTTGTCACATCAACACAGACCTCTCTGCAGTGATCAGATTGCTTGAATAGAAAAATAGAAGAAAACGTAAGGAAGAAGAAAAAAAAAAATACACGTGGAAAGTCAAATGTCTGACAGTATGATAGGTGATCAGTAGTTCTAAACCGTATAAAACACATCTCATACTAGCTGTACTTACTGAATTCCTGTGATCTTGGTGGAACCTGAAGGCTTTCAGCTGGAAATGAAGTTTATCCTCCTGGCTCCTCTGCATGAAGTAAGACTTGGCTCCTGTCAGCTTAGCATCAGTTAAACACCTTATAAGGAAAAATACAGGAACAGGATTCACATTCATAAACACAAGTGGCTGATCGTTCCAACTCTTCACAGGATACAGGTCAACAAATGCTCCTAAGAGGTACAATATGTTATGCAACTAAATCTTGATTATTATGACTAGCTGACAAATACTACCACTTAAATGTTCATATTTAGAGTCAGTTTCTGGCACATATACTGCACAGCCATTCCACAGCTCACCCATGGTTGTTGATGAAGGGGTATCTAGGTTGAGAATTGGGGTCGGGGTTCACGGTGGCCACACAGCTGTCCACGTAGACCCTCACTGGGACATGGTGACCCTGGAGGACCGCCACCTCGATATGCATCACGTCACTCAGGAAGTATACACTAGAAGGCCTCTGTGACTGCCAGTCCTCTAATCAAATAAAGAAAAAATATATAAGTGGAAAAGTAATGTTGGGGCCATCAATCTGATTAGATGAAACTTAAATGATGCCTGTGGGGGAGAGTGGATCAGTGTAGCAGTGGTGAGTAGGTTATAGGTATTAAAGATGCAATAAATGAATTACAGATGTAGCATTATCATGAACCTGGAAAATAAACAGATGAGGGTCTGTGCCTGCAAAAACTAGTTTAAAACTTTCATAGTTTCCTTCCTAACTTCATACAGTCTGGCCCATTTTACAATAAGTTAATCACAGATGGGGTTCTCTTAGGCCAGCTTTTAAAATGAACAAGTTGGTGCAGTCCCTATCTGCAGCATATAGCTTGGAATTAATTAGAAAACATGATCAGCTGTTTATTGATCTTTTATTGTGCAGGTGACCCCGTTGGGTCAGCTGCAACCTACAAGGCATGTAATTTCAGCTCATCACCATGCATCATAAGTTTTACTCCTGTTTATCATGTCATTGTTTAGCATCTTTGAACCGTCACTGCAAAGTCTGCAAGGCCTTGAGTGATTGCAATTACACCCGTCACAGGGGAAATTAGCCAAACCGTATGGCGCAAATCAAAGTTTTAACTTCAGAACATCAGCTCTAAGTTTGTCGCTTATTTGACATGTCCCCACCTGTCATGAGACGCAGGGAGAAGTGCAGCTGCTGCTCTGCTAAGATGCTGGAAGCAAACGTCTTCCAGGTAGGCTTCACAGCGTTGCTGCTCACATAATGCCTCCTGCGAGGACAATCACAGGAAGGACGGGCATTTCACTAGAGAGAGGCTCATTGAGGAAGGAGGATATGTCACAAGAAAAGAAAGGAGTCAAGAGTGGATAGATTAACATAGGTAGACTAGTAGTGGTAGAGGGTTTCTGCAGCTTTTCGCTAAATAAGACTGAATGCTTTTTAAATCCTGTTTGACAGTCATACCGGCCAAATCATGAATGTATGAAGGAAAACCATATGACCTTTTTCCCCCAGTACTTCCCTAAAAATGTCCTAGTTTTTGCCAATATCTTCACTTTCCAATGAGACGATGAGCAGTAGTGAAAGTACTTGCTGGCAGCAGGTACTGTACTTGCTACAGTTACGATGGTGCCCACTGAAACTCCACAAAAAAAACAAAACGCATCATCCTGCACACCAATCCCAATTGTAGTTTTCCCTTGTATAATGTCTCAGCCTGCAATCCTTTTAGGACTTTTAAAAACTACACATACCCTGAATAATCTTTGTAACAGCAGGGCAAGAAATGTACATGGCAGGCTGAGGGGGAATGGAAAATGCCAAATAATGTAGGCTTTACCTTGGATAGTGGCATTCAATTACCACCTCAGCAGGGTTGGTTTTTAAAATGAACGTGTTTACAATGGGTGTTGGGGAGTAGATCAGAGAAAATGAGTAGACAAGGGCCTCTTCAGTCACCTGAGGAAAACACACAACAGTTACAGTGACTCCAAATGCACAAGTAGATGGACAATGAGGGAGGGAGGAAGCCACACACCTTCTTTGCGCTGCTGCAGTCCTGTAGCTCTGTCTGGAAATGCAGGATGTGGTCAGTGGTGTCTAGCGCAGCGCAGCCTCCTAATGTCAGATCACTTGGATGGATAAACTGACCATTTCCTAAGAACAAAAGAGGAAAACGCACAGCTTAAATCAGGACGAAACCTGAAGCCATTTCTTTCCCTGGTCTGGTCAATAACACTCACAGCAAGTGCAGGTTCAGCCACAGGACAAATAAAAAGGCATCTTAGCGTGTCACTGTAAAGTCAGCATTTAAACACCAAACAGAAATGCAGAATGCTCCTTCTGCAAGTGAAGAAATAAGAGGAAACATAATATTGATCTCCAAGTCCATAGTCTGTGCCATTTGCAGTAATCGGCACTGAGTGTCCCATCTTCACCGTTCCATTCAATTTTCCAATTTGGGCCTCTAACCTGACCCTTTCTTTTTTAGACATCAGAGCAGAAGACATGTTAAATGGGCCTGCACCAGTGCCACTGTAGACAAAACAACCACAATGGATCAATTTAAACAAGTATCCGGCAGCCATTACCTAAGAAGTTCTGGTTGACCTCCACAGTGATCTCTCCTTCGCCACAGCGCACTGCCACACTGTTGGATGGCACAGGAGCCCGTGGCTCAAACACCTGCACCTACAACATCATTCAAATTTTATTACACTGAACTTCTATATTGGTACAGAAGATCAAAAAGGCTGCATAGAAGCCATAAAGTTTTTTACCTTTGATTCCTGCTTGATAGGTGGGTTCAGATCTGGGCCTTGGACCAGCAACTTTAACAACTCTGGAGCTTGGACAGTTTCGCTTGGCTCCACAGGAGACTGGAGTGTTTTTTGTTTGCCAACAGCTGGGTTTCTGAGCTGGTAGCTCCTGAGCCAGTAGCTGAAAGGAGAACGGACAGGGTGACTGTGCTGTGTCCGGTTTGACTGATGATCTGTTGTCTGCGGTGATCTTGGCAGCTGTAAACTTGTCGTCACTTGTTGTGGGATTTGGGTCAGACTCTCATTGTTGCTAAAGTTAAACCAGTTTTGTGTAGCAGCGCAAAAATCTGCACCTGAAAGGAGAAGCACAAACCCCAACAAAACCACATCTTTGAACCCCATCACAACTTATCACCCAAAAACCTTTGGTGTTTTCAGAGCACTGCTGCTTTAGTCTTTAGCAAGTTGTGGGAACTTGATTCTGACTCCACCTACTCCTAATGAATTGATTGGATTCCAGCCTGGAGGATTCAATCTTTGAAGCTTTCCTTTCCTCTCTTCCTTTTCATTAAATAGAACTGCAGATTGGCATTTACAGCCAACTTCAGCCCGGTCTTTGTGTCAAAGGCTCATTTCATAAAGAAATAATTTAGATAAGCATCTGAACATTTCTAGAGTTGAAAACTGTGGAAAGAGCTCAAATGTTCTCATTCCCTAAGTCTCTGCCAAATCTCCATGTGTCATGATGGTAATGAACAAAGACTTTTATAAACAGAAACAAGCTTGACCCTAGCAGTGAGTGGCTTTCACTGCCCCCGTGAGGCAAATCAATCAATGCTTTCAGGGAGTTGGAACCCCACGTCTTCAATGTCAAGGCGACGTGGTCAACAGTCTGCAGAGCCACTCATAAAACTGAGATTTATGGTCATCCTCTGTGAGGCTTCACAAACGTTACCACCACCAAGTGTGTGTGTGAGACATGTGACAGGAAGCAGCAGCGGGCATGTCTTGAATCTATGCCAGGGGGCATGTCAGTCACACACCTGTTATAAATCTCGCACAGGTCACATGTGCACAGCAATGTTTTAGGGTCTGCTTGACCTCTTAAACCCACAAAAGTCCACTTAAGTTTCTTTAAATTTAAAACACTATATGAAACTATATACTGTATATTCTAAATATCTTAAATCTGATATAATTGTATTTTGTTTAAATATTTGGATCTTACTAGAATGTTAAAGCTGGCTCAATGAAAAGTCCAAAACCAACAGTGTGTTAGACAGATACACAGAGAGACTATAGATAAATACGTTTTAGCCTTTCTTTACTGGTTACCAGTTAGTTTTAGAATTGATTTCCAGATTTTACTGATCATCTTTAAAACATTCAGTGGTTCGGCTATATTGCTGATTTGCAGCTCCCCTATGAGCCAGGGCGCAGCCTCAGATCCTCAGGCAAGGCTCTACTGGCTGTTCGGAGTCCTGGCTCAAGACTAAAGGTGACCAGGCTTTTGCAGTCAAGGCCCCTCAGCTCTGAAACCCTCTGCCTGAGGATCTGAGGTTGGCTGAATGACAGCTTTTATATCACTTCTAATACCTATATTTTCAAAAAAGCCTTTTATTAATATTAATTCTAGCACAGCACACATGTTTTACTGCCAACATGTCTTATCTGTTTTATTATTAATATTTATCTTTATTGTTAGGGTTTTTTTCAATGTAAAGCACATTGTTTTTGAACAGTACATAGATTTTATTATTGTTATTATTTGAAGTAAATTTAAATTGAGTTACCAGTATGGAAATCCTGTATGTCTCAACATTTCTCATCATCCACAGTCATACTTTTCCCAGTAAGAACATATGGATAAAAAAAAAAAACATAATAAGATTTCCTTCAAAGAAAATGGTTAAATTACTTTAAATCACTTCCCCTTGATGCAGACACTCTAATCCAGGCTGACCTACAGGAATACATTATAGCTCTTCGTCTCTGTCAGGATCTCTCTGCAGACTCCCCAACAGAGAGGCTGCTATTGTCAGGAACTGGCTTTTATCTTTTGCTGATCAGCGGTAAAACAAAGAGAGGAGGTGTGTGTGTGTGTGTGTTAGTTCAGGGGGCTGGAGTGAAATCAGTCCATCCCTGCCAGTCAGACCCCCTCTGCTGCCGATCTCTAACTTGGTTAGCTGCCTCTAATTTGGCCCCTAGAGGGCCCTAATGTGGCCCCTGTGGGGGCTTCTGAAAGGGGCCTGGCAGCTACCTCTACACACTCTACACACACACACACACATACACACACACACACTGCTGCTGCCACTCCCATCAGCTTCTGTTTCCAATATTACTAGTGCATTTTGAGACAAGGGCAGGATGGTGCAGGTAAATAGACCGATCCTCTGCTTCGTCCATAAACACATACACGGCACACACAACCATCTCATTCACACACACACACACACACACACACACACACACACACACACTCACCAACTTCTACCAGATGGAAAGTCGTCAACCAGGATGGCACACCGACGACGCAGATGCTCAGTGACAGTAACACACACACACACACACACACACACAAACACGTCCACACACACACACACACGTCCCTCGTCACGTTTTGCTGACAGCACAAAGTCATGGAAACAGCTCGATTTGGCCCGCGCTGCACTGCAGCATACGGATAACGGTTATGGAGGCTCATTAAAAACATGTAGTGGGAGATGGATTAGTTATGGCCTGCTGTTGTGGTGGGCGAGCTGCGTTCAAGATCAGCGGATTTCTATGCGTTTTGTCAGCGAATAGATATGCGTGGGACAGGGAGATTTTTCTGAGGGAAATGTTGCCTTCCAACATGTAGGCTACTGGCATGTGTTTATAGACGCTGGCAGCAGTTGCGCTGCCACTGCTTAAAACTATCTTGGTATGTTGGCAATTTTTAAAAGGGAGCAAATATGTGGATCTGTCAAGCGGGTGAAACCCTGAGATGAAAAGGGGGAGAGGCAGGAGAAGTGTGAGAAGGAAAGAATTCAGAAGTCGTGCAGGCGGGGGAAGGGAAGAGAAAGTGAAAACAAAGGAGGGAAAGAAGAAAAATATGGTTGGGGTCAGTGAACCTGGGGGTGAGGGATAACAGACAGCAGCCTGGCGGGTGCTCGGCCCATCCCGGTGGGAGCGACATGAAATAACAGCACGCCAAGCTCTGATTCATGGCCGTTTCCACACGCGCACACACACAAACACACACACACACACACACACACACACAACTACGCCAGGGTACAGACACTAGCCTATAAAGAAGATGCACACACACACACACACACACACACACACAGAGCTAATGGACTGTTATTAAAGACATGCATCACACCGCGTCACGACCACACACACATCTGCACATCGCTTCCACACACTCTAGTGGGATAATGATCTCCCAGCACTGCAATAACAGCTGATGTATCATTTAGCAAAAAGCCACAGTGACACACGGCGAGGCCAACGTGACACAAACACACTCTGAGTCTAGTGGCGGCCAAAAGCACTCTTTCCCCATCATCATCCTCCACACGGCCGACCTCATTATTATCACAACATCCGTGACATTTCTCATAAAGGGGATCGTCTTCTCGCTCAACTGCCCTTGTCACGGCATAAAGGTCTGCAGCGAGGGTTGATTGACAGGTGTCAGAGGAACAATGCAGCGTCCAGTGAATCAGGGGCTGACCTTTAGCCTCCTGCCACCGCCCTACATCATAGGCTCCAAATTCTCTCAAGGGAGCAACTTATCATTTTTCCTGCTATCTGATCTTGGGTGCAATGGAAGAGCTAGCCTGGTGATATTTAGCTGTTTGTTAACAGTGCAGCTTCTTTTATTATTGTTGTGCAAACCCTCATGTGTAGGCACATCCAAATAACTTTTGACCTTCATATGTCAGATGCTCTACTTGGAAGATTAATCCCCATTGTGCTATGACCTCTACTTAAAACTGCATTAATCTGTAATTCTAATCTAATCTAATACACAGCCACTTGTTATGACATGACCTGAATATCGAACTGAAGTCAAGTAATAACAACTGAACCTTCTGAGGAAGGTCACACCATGTCTTTTAAGGGTTCAGAAACACGTGAGTTTGAATTATTCTTGGTCATTTTAAGAGGGAAGTAATCACATTTAGGCAAGAGTCTCAAATTGCAAGATAATTTTTCTGAGCCCCACACATGTTTAGAATGTATGTATGAAATCTGACCATCATACTATTTTGTTTTTTCCCTAGGCTTTTATTCAGTAATCACAACTTATTGCACATTTTTTAAGGCATGCTGCCAAATTCGGACTATAAGAATACAATTTGTTTGATATTTGGAGTCCCCCTTCACTCAAAAATGTGTTTTGCTTTTGTTACTTCACTTGGGTGTTTGGGCCTCACTGTGCAGAACAATGTTTTGATACTAGAAGACTTCATTGTTCATGTTCATCTGCTGAAGGGGGAAAGTTTTTCTGTGCTCGAGTTAAATCTGAGTTTAAGGCGTGTACAAATTTGTTACACCGCGACCAGTTTCAAAGTCAACCATGGTTCAATATACAAATCACACAAGTGTGATGCTGAAACTTGAAGCCTCCAGTGCTCACTTTAAAATGATGCAGGGGACATCTTGTGTCCAGCAGTTAAACCTTTGAAATGAACAGCATTCCAGCAAGTGGGAGAATAAATAGATGTTATTTTAACAAGGTAATTGCATTTTGCTTTGTGTGGAAAACCATACCAGACAAAAATATTATTCACAGCAGAAAAGTGTTTTGTAAAGTTGCTGTTCTCAAGGAACACAATCTCAAGCGGCAAACATGCAGAGCAGTATGTACGAGGGAGAGCCTCAGAATGTGTGTATAGTTTATTGTTGAAAGAACGGTGGAGATTTTTTCTTCACTTACTCTTGAAGTGGCCCCCTCCTAGGAAAACCCATCCTAGCCAGTGCGGCCCCCAGGTAATTCAAGTTTCAGCCCTCTTTGTTAAAGTAAAAATCTATGTTTTGAGTTGTAACTTCTAATGCCCTAAGTTTAAAAGGTTGATCTGAAAAGTTTCTAGTTGGCGCCTTCATGTGCGATATACACAAAAGTTACCATTATTGATTGCCAAATGATTTGAGAATCTTTGGCATTCACTGTAGAAGTGTCTTTTTTGCCAATAAATCACTAAAGACGCTACCTCAGGTGAGCTATGATGAGGCAATTGCGCAACACAAAAGTAGTTATTTAGCCATTTTGCTGAGAAACTAGAATCATATATTTTCATTGTGACTCATTTCCTGTGACTGTGGGTTGCCATGCAGCATAATCTGCTTCTATTGCCTCCTCATAGCTCCGAATGTTATAAATAGCAATGTTTTTTTGGTAGCAGGAGTGGTTTGAAAAGTTTTCACGGACCTTTCAAACTGCAGTGAAGAGGTATACTATTCCTTTAAAATGTCCAGCCTAAGCTCCATTCCACTGTAATACC